CAGGGTCTCACTATGTAGTTCAGACTGTTCTGGAACTCACTGTGTAGCCCAGGCTGGTCTCAAACACAGCGATCCTCCCACCTCAGCCTCCTGTGTGCTGGGATTATAGGCGTGAGCCACCACACCCGGTTTAAAATGATTTCTTAAGTCTTTAGCTGAATGTTTCTGTTTGACAACTCAAAAATATGAAGGTCTGCTGTACTTTTTTATCTGATACTTAATATCAGAGTAATACCAAATTGTGATTTAATATTATTTTTATAGATATAAGTAACAGGAGTATTTTAAGCACAATTTTTAAAAATGTTTTCTTCTCTCTTGTAGTATTTTAAGTCATTAAAAATTATATTCAGAAAAAGTTTGACAACTCTAATATGCCATAGAGCTGGTTATTTTATACAAGTTATTTTCTGCAAGCAGCATCTTACCCTTTTTGATTATAACTGAAGACAAAATGAACAAAATAAAAACAGTTCTTAATAAATTATTTCCAATAACAATTGTATTTTTGAAATCCTAAAACTATTTCAGGTTCTATTTAAGGTATACAAAAAAACTTTCATTTAAGAATAGTATCACCTTCCAGGAAAAAAGTTTTTTCCCCAAATAAGGAAGGTACTATACCTATCTGTTTGGTAACTAGGATTAAATGCCAGCCAGTTTGTAATAGCTAAATCTTGGAAACAGCCAGAATGCCCATCAGCTAGTGACTGGATAAAGAAGATGTGGGGTTTTTTTGTTTGTTTGTTTCTTACTTAGCCATAAAGAATGATAAACTAGAGACATTTGTAGCTCAATGGATACATGTTGAGGCCACATTCTTAAGTGAAATAGTGCACACGTGTAAATTCTGAAGTTTCTCAGGTGTGAGAAACTGTGTATAAATGAGGACCAAAATGTGTAATAGAAAATGTACAATGAGAAAAGGTCCAAAGAGAAAGGGGAAGTAGCGAGGGGGGAAGGGAAAGGAAAGACAGGAAAAAAAAAAATGTGAGAAAAGAATGGAAAAAATGGAAATAAAGTTTTTGGTAAATAGGAATGGTAGAAGGGAGGGAGGGAAGGAGAATGGAGAAAAAAGAAGAACCAAGATATATCACATACAGATACAAATTCCTGATGATGAATGTGATTATAATGTATACCTAAAATGTACCAATAAACAATAAGAAAAAAACCTGAGGGATACAAGTGGAATAAATAATAATACTGCATTAGTGCTTTTAGCAGTCATTCATTGAACTCAACCTACTTTATTTCATTTCAAACATTATAATAAGACTCAACAAATAATTATAATTTTTGGTTCTACTAAAAGTATTCCAGGCCCTAAAATAGAAGCTTAGAGATATTTATTGAATGAATTGCAAAGTTTGTTCAATATACTATTCAGTATTTTCCAGAATAAAGCAAAAGTTGTTTCTCTGTGTGTTCTAAATGTATCTAAAGTCAGATTTTAGAAAATATAATACCTTCTAACAAGAAAAAAACCTGCATTTTACATTTACCAAGAAAATCTATTTTTATATATTCCACATGTGAAGGACTATATGGTATTATAGCTACATGAAAACTACCGTGTTTTTTCACAACTTTTTGGGGGAGGTACTGGGAATCAAACTCAGGACCTTGCACTTGCAAGACAGGCAAGATGCCATTGAGCTAATTTCTGACCCTGCTTTCATGGTTTTTAATCCTGACAGTGAATTGAAGAAAAATGGAAATATTGGAAGAGCAACCAAATGTAGAAAAAAATACTACCTACCTTAAAGCTTACTATAATTGAGTTGGGGGTGTAGCTCAGTGGGTAGAGCATATACTTAGCATGCAGAAGATCTCCCTGGCTCCAAAAAAAAAGAGAAGAAAAAACTTTATTCTGATAATATGCACTTTCCTTTAATGTTAATGGGCTATTTTCTTGCAAAGAAGAAATATGTATGACTATATGTTAAACCTTCATTTTTCTCATCTTTAAGGGAAAAAAATCCTAATCCTTTTCACTGTTTTTGTTTTAAATGCAGATTATTCTAATATTGACCATCTTCAGTCGGTTACTTGGAGTAATTCAGCTTTCATCCTTACATACAACTATAAATTTGTCAAGTTCACATAGATTAATATGTGATAGATTTCAGAACTTAATAGGCTGAATTCTATATTTAACATTAAATGTCTTCAATTATATATCCTTTGATTGTTATAGAGTTATAGGTGTTTTTTTAAGCCACTAAGTATTACTAATACAGTTTAGTCATACTTGGTTTAGCAAAGTTATACTCTTACAAACTATATATACTCTCTTAATGTTTATATTTATTTAGAAATTGACATTCTAAACAAAATTGTATTTTCTTTTCCTTTTGCAGGTGGATATTACTTTCCCTTCATGGAAAAAGTTTTATTCTAAGTGTTCTCATTGAAATTAACAAAAAGGAGAAAAAAATTAATGTTCTAAAATTTTAAAATAGATTTGGCTATAATAAGCTTTTAAATATACTGCTTACATATTTGGGGAAAGAAGAGACAATCAATACATTCCCATCTACTAAAAAGTTTTATTTTTTACTCATCAATAGATTTCTTGTGGCTTGTGTTTTATTACTAATAGTGTGAAATCCTTTAATGTATAACTGACTACTGCACCAGAAACTTTTAAGAGCTTATGTTCTTACTGTGTTTATAAAATACAGAGCACTTTTTTCTAATTTTTTTCTTCCCTTTTCTGCAATGCCTAGGTATCAAACCCCTGGGCTTTGTACATACTAACCAACCACTATACCACCAGCCTACTCCCTCAGCTCCTTTTTTTAAGGCTGTATGCAGTGAAAAAATTTGACTAAATAAACGTTTAGACCTTTTATTTTAAAATAACTGTACAAAATAACATTACTTGCTGATTTCATGTGTGTATGTGGTGTGTGTGACACAAGGCACTGGCTGAGCCTTAAATCCAGGGCCTTTGCAATGGATTTAGGCAGCCCCAACCCCTTTTTGAGACAGTCTTGAGTTGGTAAGTTGCCTGGACTAGACTCAAACTTGTGATCCTCTTGTCTTAGCCTCCAAGTGATGGGATTTCAGGTATACACCACCATACCCAGCTTCCTGTGCTTCTTAGGAACAGCCTTAACAATTTTATGTGCCTCAGGCTATTTGACCTTTGCAGATAAGACAGTGTTTTTATGAATATAATTCAAGATTAAAACAACCATCTGAGACCATTTAGAGTCCAAAGAAAATGTTTGGGTGGATGGTTAATAGGTAT